GCGTCTTCCACAGATGGGAAGACGCTATCTTCTGCGAGAGCTTACATTGTAGGTGTGTTCGCTGAAATGAAGAAATGAAAAAGAGAACGGGGCAAGAAGTTGCCCAGTATTTATAGAGTTAGGAGCACGACCCCTAGTAAATAATTATGGAATTAAGGAGGAGCTAACTCCGACAAGTATCTTTCGTTCGAAAGTTTTTCAGGTGTTGACATGACTTGCCTCAAATAGAAAATTTCAGAAATCACTGGGAAGGTTTCTAGGTCATGTGCAAGTGACCTCAACTACCCTGGGTTGATGTTCCCAGCCAGGCTTCGTTGGTGCCAGTTTTTTGTTAGCGATCGTCGCAGCAACGTAGATTAATTACACGGTGTCTCGTGCTCAGGAAAGATATTATTCAAATAGTCCTGCATTTATATATATATTTTGTTAGTAGTGATATTTTTTTGTATACGGACAGAATGTACAAAACATTATTTTTACGCCACGTCATAATTTCCCAACTTAAAAATTCGTGTGAGCAGGACATGACTAGCGTCATTACCTGTATCTGTATGTACACAAAATTTATTTAATTTTTATATAAAAAGACTCTCAAGGTATGTGTTATTTATATAAAACTACCTTCAGTGTATATGTATATATAAATTTTTATATGAAATATAAAGGAATATCATGTTTATTCCTAAGCTGCCTCGTTTTATCGATGCTATATATAAATTAAATAACCTGTATTCCAAAATCCGAAAAAATCTGAAAAAAGAGGCACTTCTGACGATCCCAATAATTTCGGATAAAGGATTCTCATCCTATATATATATATATATATATATATATATATATATATATATATATATATATATATATCAGTGGGGGGGTGTGTGTGTGTGTGCCTGTGCGTGTTGTGGGGTCGGGTGTGGGGAGGGGGTGTTGTGAAGATGAGAATTTGATGGATGTTTGTGTCGTCTCATAAATTTTAATTAATATTCATTTCTTTTTCTCGCCCAATTCTCTACTCATTTTGATTCTAGAATTTTTTTTTCCTCGAGGAAATTTTACGTTCGCATGAATTTTTTTTAAAAATATGAACAAGGATAGAAGGACTCATTCCACTTCTTATTTTCTTAAATTCCTGCAAATATTCTTATCAAATGTCAGAACTGGCAATTAAGAAGTAAAAAAAAAAAAAAGATTTTCAAAGCCAAAACCAAACGCAAATAGAAAGATGGACGTATATATTTCATAACAGCATTTTGAAACATTCCTAGACTTGATAGGATTCTTTTTCTAAATATATTAGTAAACATTTTTTGCTATATCATTTAATTATTACAGCATGTGTAATAGTACCAGTAGTAGTAGTATCAGTAGTAAAAGTGGTATTATTTCCATATTAGCTTAAAGGCTGCACTTCGTGTGGACTTTTAAGTTAACCCCTGTAGAGGGTTAATTGGGGCTTCGGCCCAAAACTAAAGAAAGCTCTGGTCCAGCTTAGAAAACAGCAATGTGAATTTTGAAGAAATAATTTTGAATTCCTCAATTCACTCCATGGCATTTCAAAAACATCACTTTAATTCTGATTCGGGCTATAAGTTCAATTATGGCCAAAAGACAGATTTGAACCGAAAGCCCGATTTGGGCCGAAAGCCCGATTTGGGCTGAAACGCTGATTTGGGCTGAAACGCTGATTTGGGCCGAAAGCCCGATTTGGGCTGAAACGCTGATTTGGGCTGAAACGCTTATTTGGGCCGAAAGCCCGATTTGGGCTGAAACGCTGATTTGGGCCGAAAGCCCGATTTGGGCTGAAACGCTGATTTGGGCCGAAAGCCCGATTTGGGCTGAAACGCTGATTTGGGCCGAAATTCCAGTTCAGACCGAAAATTGAGTTCTTCAAATCATAAACTCGGTGGAACTTCAATTGAGCATCCTGATTCTAAACTCCAGATGTTAATTCTACTCATCAGAATCCATCTTGAACATTTAAAGATCTACCATTCGTCCGTGAATTGAATACTGTTGTCTAGTCTGGTGCTCCTGCTATACATCTCGAAATTCTTGACAAAAATTCAAAGAAGGATCTGCAATTATTGACAAAATTCAAAGAAGGATCTGCAATGTAATCGATCCTTACCTGGCATCTCGATTCCAGTCACTTTCTCACTGACGTGATGTGGCTTCCCTTTGTCTTTTCTACAAAATATTTTCATGGCAACTTTTCTGATGAGCTGTTCTCCTTAGTGTCTCGACTGGATGGATTTAAGCGTGTTACTAGATTGGCAACTAAGTCTTGCCGTTTTACTGTTGAACTAGCTAGATGCAACCGACAGTTTTAATTTTAATAGTTTCCTTTTTCGCACTTCTAGCCTGTGGAATTTCCTTCCGATTTCGTGCTTCCCTGCCAACTACAATCTTCAAAAATTTAAATGCAACGGCAATGGTTGTCTCCTGTCTTGTGCAATCCTGTCCTTTCTCCTCACTAAAGTCTTCCCATTCTCTTCCACTCCTAGTATCTCCCTTACGTCTTCGTGGCATTATCGTCTTGCTTGGAGTGAAATGATTAAAAAAAAAAGGAAAAATGTAGCGATTATTCTGATAACAATGATGTGATTTTGCTTGGAAGCATATCTATCTATCTATCTATCTATCTATCTATCTATCTATCTATCTATCTATCTATCTATCTATCTATCTATCATCTATCTATCTATTTATCTATCTATCTATCTGTTCCTTTATCTATCTATCTATCTATCTATCTATCTAAGTCTGTTCCTTTATCTATCTATCTATCTATCTATCTATCTATCTCAGTCTGTTCCTTATCTATCTATCTATCTATCTATCTATTTATCTATCTATCTATCTATCTATCTATCTATCTATCTATGTGTCTTACATTATACTGATCATTATTTACCTATCCTTGAATGACAAATTCTTATAGGCTCAAATGTAAACAACCAATATTTATGTATCTCAGAACTGAATAAGTACTGTTACGCTCAGATCCAAATGACCAACATTTACCTCTCCCCGAACCAAGTAAATACTTATAATTTGGCGCAAAAATCCAACCGCTCTCTCGCACATCGTAGACAAAAAATGCCGCGATGCCTTATCTGATTGTTTCAGGACGACTTCTGCAGTCTACCAGTAAATATTACATCATGAAACTTCCTAATATTTATATGAAATTTTAATAGGTGTTTGTAGGCGCCAAGATGTGGTAGATACAAAGGAAAAAATGGATTTGAGAATCGGTTTAACGTGTGAGATGGAATGAAAAGGGAAATAAAAAAGGATCAACTATGGGATTATACATTTTTTAAAAAGATGAAAATTGAGAGAATGAGTCGGGGAAAGAAAAAGAGAAACCGAAAATAAAAGTAGAGAGAGAGAGAGAGGGAAAGAGAGAGAGAGAGAAAGGGAGAGAGAGAGAGGGAAAGAGAGAGAGGGGAGGGGGAAGGGAGAGAGAAAAAGTAGGAAAAGTACATAGGAAAAAAGAGAAAGGAAAGGGAGATAAATGAGATGATAATAAGAAAGTGTATGTTCGGGTAGCGTAATGATTATCAGCGCTGAAAACGGAATCGGCGAGTCAAGTACAAATTCCGTGATCGTTTAAAACATTCGCTTTTGCACTAAATACCCTTGGGAAATGCGTGAACCCATTTCTTCTGTGGGTTAAATATCAGGGCAGGATCTCTCTCTCTCTCTCTCTCTCTCTATATATATATATATATATATATATATATATATATATATATTTCTAGGCTTGGGCTATCAAGAAGAAGAAGAATTCTGAAGGCAAAATCATGCAAAAATGAGGGCAGGGGTTTTCTTTTGACTTGAATGGAAACCACTCCACTAATTTTGTATGACTTTTATATCAATTCATAGAAAATAAAAACAAAAGAATCTCAAGGAAGATAAAGTTTAAAAAAAGAAAGATCGAGAGAAAGAAGCGTGCAAAAAAAAAAGAGAGAATGAAAACGGAGAAAAGAATAGGAGGGAGAAAAAAAGAAAAGAAAAAAAGAAGAGAGAGAGAGAGAGAGAGAGAGAGAGGAAGAGAGAGTGACAAAATAAGAGAAATGAGAACAAAAAATGAGAATAAGTTGTAAGAAAGTGAGAGAGAAATAAAGAGTTTAAAAGGCAAAATCAAGTAAAAGAGAGAGATTAAAAAAAAGGGTAAGTGTCAAATAAAAAAGGGGGTAGATGTGAAATAACAAGGAAAATGTCTCAGAGAAAACAAGAGGGTAAGAAATCAAGAAAATTCAAGAAAGTAGGAGAGAGATAAAGAAATAAATTTACAAAAAGAGAGAAAAGGAAAGAGAGAGAAGAGAGAAGAGAGAAGAGAAGAAGAGGGAGAGTGAGAGAAAAAATAAATTAAAAAGATAAAAAAGATGTGCGTATGCTTAACACACACACACACACACACACACACACACACACACACACATATATATATATATATATATATATATACAAAGAAAGAAATGAAAGAAAAGTGAATAAGCGTTAAAAGAAATAAAAGCAAAGTAAGTAAAGATAATGAAAGAAAGGGAATAAGTAACATAAAGGAAGGAAAAGATAGAAAGAAAGAAAGAAAAAAGGAAGAAAAAAGAAGAAAAGAGATTAAATTTAAAAAAAATAAGGAAAATTTAAATGTAAGTTAGAAAAAAGTGGAAAATAGAAAAGAAAAGAATAATTGTTTTTTTTTATTTATTTTTTACGGCTTATCAACCATTCTTAAATTATTTTAAAGCGGAAACATCTTTGGATGAAAAAAATTTCTGCTAGTGAATATTGTATTAGCAATTCGTTGGAGGTAATAATGATTTTTCGATACATGTCCAACTATTTAACCCATAGTTGAAGGGAGAAATAGCGGATTCTTACCTTTTCTAAGAAAGAGTGAAAAAGTAACGAACCCCACTGAAATTCGAACTTCGATCTCTGATTTATCATTTCTAGCCTTTATCCATTACACCTCACGCACATCCAAGCTTGCAGCAGCTGGTATTACCAAGCAGTCACCCATCTAGGTACTGACAATATTCAACCTTGCTTAACTTTGGTGATCGGGCGAGAACCGGTTTTTCAACGTGATATGGTCGTGAGAAAGGAAAGCAGAAAAAAAAGAAAGTAAGCTATAAAATCAAATCAACGAGAAAGGAAAAGGAAAAGAAAAAAAGGAAGAAAAAAGAAAAAGAAAGAAAAAACAGAATAAACTTTAAATAGAACTTTAGCGAAACAGACCGTGCAAAATTTGCCGTGACAAGTTTCCCCCTCCCATTTATTATCTTGAGAAATACACTGCAATTACATCGCAGCTTTTTATTGTTACGATCAACGAGCCACCATCTCAACACCGGCCATATTTTTCTTCTTTTCTCCAATAAACTTTTTGGCTTCATCATTAAAAAAAAAAAAAAAAAAAAAAAAAAAAATCTCGCATTTTTATTTATTTATTTATTTATTTTCCTGTCGTCGCAATCTCCTGGGTTCTCAAATTTCTAATGGCCAACCGCAAGTTGCGAAAATCAACCACTGCGGTATACCGAGATTAAAAGAAATAATAATAATAATAATAATAATAATAATAATAATAAAACAGCGACAATAACAACAACTCAAGTATAAAAAGATTTCCAGACTTGCTTCCATTAGGGAAAGTACCCCTATGTAGATGCAATGAGGACCCAGATGGACATGCGCACCTGTCCACCACCTGAGAGTGGTGCCCCGTGCTGAGTTGCTGTATGTCATTATTAGAATGTGAGGGTTAATTTGCGATTGTAACGGTGACAGGAGTGCTTGTTATCATGAAAACAGGTAATGTTTTTGTGAATCGCTTCGGCAAGGTTTTTGTTTTCACGCTCCGAGTATAATTAGTTATAAAATGTCAGCGCTGAGAAGCCACTACCCCACTGCAACGAGACACACACACACACACACACACACACACACACACACACACACACACACACACACACACACACACACACACACACACACACACACACACACACACACACACACACACACACACCGACAGACACACACACACACACACACACACACACACACACACACACACACACACGCACGCGCGCGGGCACAACAAAAAAACAAAAACAAACAAAAAATCGTTTTAATAGACATGTGAAAAAGGTTCCAGAGCTATTTTTTTAACTTTAAACTGGAGATTTAAAACACAATTGAAAATTTAATATAATATGGTTTAACTCACCTTTTAATCGTAATGTTCAAAAGAATATCGGAAGATGTTTCCTAAATTTAATTCATAAGCAATTCTAAAAAGTTTTTTTTTAAACAAAAACAGTGTTAAGATCAGTATAGCTACGTAAATAACATCAATAAATCTATATCCCAACATATCAATATTAATCTAAACAGATACATGTCCAATAAAGTTAATTTTTAAAAAAATAAATGCCGAAAAAATATGAACTGTTCTTTAAACAGGTAGTGTATGACTAATAATATTCTATACCGAGCTAGTATATATTCCAGTAACAAGGTCAAATTTTATTTTGGTTCTACTAAAGTTCCTTAGAAATTTCATTTCTACCATCATCAAATGACTTTAGCAATGTAAGATAAATAAACAGCACTGCACTCTCAAAATATTTCTGGCAATTAAAGAATGGTGGTAATACACCCATTATTGTGAGGGATATTTTAGTTAAAGACAAATCTTTCAATGGGAAAGGCGATAGATATAATTTATGCCTTGTTGAAAAATTAGTTATCTTAAAACACTTATATAACCTTAGTTTATTAAACAAGAGAAATGAATTGATAATTACACGTAGGCACAAAAACAAATATCTGCTAAAATACGTTGATCCAGATTAATTTTTTTATAAATCATGTTTTTTAAAAAGAACCAGTAATCTCCGTTTATGCTTAATATAAAAAGTTAATATTCACAAATGTAAAGTAATATATATATGTTATCTACTGTAAGCATTTAAAAATATTCGTTCTGTATTCATAATTAATTTTATTAAGGTTTTGTTTTATCTCTTGTTTCCCCGTTCAGGATTGGGTTTCCGCTTCCTTCTAAGGTTTACTTCAACTCTCTAATTCTAACGTCTTCGACTGAACGCTGAAATTTTATTCGCTAATTAAATCTTGACATTTGTAACTCTATGATTAGCTGTCTTTCCTGTTCTCCTGCCCTTCCTTACACTAATACAACTTCTCACAGTAACCATCTACCCTGAATGGCACTTGTATTTGGTAAACATTAGTATATATATATATATATATATATATATATATATATATATATATATATATATATATATATATATATATATATATATATATATATATATATATATATATATATATATATATATATATATATATATATATATATATATATATATATATATATATATATATATATATATATATAATATATATATATATATATATATATTTGTAATATATATATATATATATATATATATATATTTATATTTGTATATATATATATATATATATATATATATATATATATATTTATTATTTATTTATATCTTATATATGTATATTAATATAATTGTCGGACTTAGTCAATTTCATAATATATGTATATATATATATATATATATATATATATATATTGCGTGTATTTGGGTAGCATATTATCATTGAGATATGTTTCAGTGAATAATTTAGACAAGTTTTTTCTACTTATTTTCAATTGGATCCTTTCATATTTACAGACAAGGTTTTTGATGTCATTATTAAAGGAAGAGAGAAAATCACAGTGTTGATACATATTTTATCCTGAGTACTTTCGACATGGCACAATGCCATCATCAATATGTTATTTATTTCGAGAAAAATATTCCAGTGTTCATCATTTTCAAAGACAAAATTGCTTTGTTCATTTGAAAGTTTAATTTTTCTTTTTACTAAGTGAAGTACTAAGTGAGTGGCTTGACTAACGCTTCAGGCGAGCTAAGTATAGTGTTGTCGAGAGTCTTAAGAAATGAGTATTAAAACTATTAGTACAAACCTCGATATTTAAAGTTATCTACTGTAAGCATTTAAAAATATTCGTTCTGTATTCATAATTAATTTTATTAAGGTTTTGTTTTATCTCTTGTTTCCCCGTTCAGGATTGGGTTTCCGCTTCCTTCTAAGGTTTACTTCAACTCTCTAATTCTAACGTCTTCGACTGAACGCTGAAATTTTATTCGCTAATTAAATCTTGACATTTGTAACTCTATGGTTAGCTGTCTTTCCTGTTCTCCTGCCCTTCCTTACACTAATACAACTTCTCACAGTAACCATCTACCCTGAGTGGCACTTGTATTTGGTAAACATTAGTATATATATATATATATATATATATATATATATATATATATATATATATATATATATATATATATATATATTTTATGTTTAACGTTCTTTTTATAGATACAAGTATTTAAGCAAATGCTCTGTTTATGATAAACAGTATTAAATAACATTTACCGGCCTGAATGTCCGAGAAATTTTCATAGAAAATATTCGTTCTTTGACAGGATTCGAACCTGCATCCTATACGGAACCGTCATTTACGCTGACGTGCCTTACCGATCAGCCACAAAGAAGCGTTCGGTAGACAAGGTCGAATTTACTGCTTCTTTGTGGCCGATCGTTAAGGCACGTCAGCGTAAATGACGGTTCCGTATAGGATGCAGGTTCGAATCCTGTCAAAGAACGAATATTTTCTATGAAAATTTCGGACATTCAGGCCGGTAAATGTTATTTAATACTGTTTATTATAAACAGAGCATTTACTTAAATACTTGTATCTATAAAAAGAACGTTAAACATAAAATGTGTTTAATAAATAAATTGTCGGACTTTGTCCATTTCTTAATATATATATATATATATATATATATATATATATATATAAGTTAAATAGAAAACAGACAACCTTAAGGGTTTATTGATTATATTTTATTTCCCCAGGAAGGTGTTTTTTCTGTTCTTTTTTGCTTGGAAATGTGATCTGAGGAATTAGGACAAAAACATTGACATTGAGCTCTCTGTATTACATCCTCCCCTGGGATTATCCATACGGATTACCAAACTTTCCATTACTTATATATATATATATATATATATATATATATATATATATATATATATATATATATATATATATAAGAGCAAAAAAGCGTTAGCAAATATTCTTGTTTGTTGCTATCTCGAGATCCTCGCTGTTGCACAATATGGGGCTTGTATGCAGGTCACTAGCGGGACTGAAATGTCAAAAACCACACAAACATTAAAACTGAATGAGGTTGTCGAATTCATATACGTCGAAATCGACAGGAGAGTCCAGCAAATATATATATATATATATATATATATATATATATATATATATATGTATATATATATGTGTGTCCATACTTAAAAATTAGGGATCAGCCAATTACGCTACCAGGAAATCATTTAACATAAGGAACCATTTAAATGTCTGATCAAATATTTTAAATTTAACAGCTCTGCACGTTAAATTTTATTTTCTTTATATGTGTATTGAGCACTTTTTAATACACCAGTTTCCTGGTTTAATATAGCTCTGACCAGTATATATATATATATATATATATATATATATATATATATATATATATATATATTCTGGACGATGATCTAAATGTTTTTTTACACATTACCAACACATAGATGTTTTTTCCCATTAACAAAAGTTTTTTAGTTATCGAAATAAGTGTTAATCCGAAAGTGAAAATCAGGTGAATACAGGGTACAGTAGGACATACCATTGACACAGCAGTAATTTCGGCTGGGTTAGGAGAGTGATCTGAGATCTGGAGTTGTCCTAATGAGAGACGACACTTTTCTGATTGGCCAATTCCAGACGCTTTTCATCGATTGCTGCCTTTAATCTAGGTACCTCCACGAGCATACCGTGATGAAAACATGCTCCAAACGTAAAGAAAACAGTTTTATCGTCAAAGTCGTTATATTATCATTAAGTATTTTTTGATTATTTAAGTAAATTTTCACTCCTTTTTAGAACATTTGAAATTTTGATTAATTTTTTT